CGGCATTGGTCATGCTGCCTTGTTTCGTGGCTCTCTTAATACACTCGTTCCTCATCGACGCAGGACAAGAGCTAGAATGTGAGTTTTCTAACTTCTTTTCGCGTTTTATGTTCACTGGCATTCAGACATCCTCTCACACTAATTATTTCTACGTTCTGACCAACATATTATAAAATCTTTCATACAACATGTATCGGTTCACACAATGAATATGACATGTGACTGACTGAATAATACAATATGTCATAATTCTTTTAAAATGTTTTCATCAATGTATAATAATGCATATATGTATATTAATGCATACATATCATCATGATTTATATAAACATACATCTCCCAATAATGCAATAAGTATATTCAGTTCATATTATACATCTATATAATATTTGGTGATAGATTTGAGTCAATGCTATGTGCAGGTGATGCAGGTGGCATAATGTAACGAACATTACAAAGGAACATTACAGAGCAACATTACAAAGGAACATTACAGCTAACATTCTACACGGCGGTAGAATGAGGGCGATTTAGACTCATCCTCATCTGAGCATTTACATCACGTGTATTGTCCTGCACTTGGTCAGTATTACATTCATCCTTGCCACGTGTGTATGTATATTTTTTTTAGTGTTTTTTTTCCATTTTGTAAAATTCTGACTTGGCTAATCTAACACAAAGAAATCTGATATCACAGCAAACAATAAAGCATAGATCTAAAGCTCCTTTGTCGCGTTGAGAAAGGAATCCGGCTTCCCTACTCGTTCACGTCAGGGTTCCCTACCCTCCGGTCAGTGCACGGACGTGGCTGCGGGGCGTTCGCAAGGACCCTCTCGGCAACGTCCAAGTCATGTAGAAGTGTTACATGTCAGTTGCAGGTCTGAGAAGTGTCACAGGTGGTCACGTGATCGAGGAGAAAACGTGTCTCCTACTTCCTTCAGGTAGAGCCAAGAGTGAAGAATATCTCTACTGGATTGTTCCATCTTCTTTGATAAGGAGAATTGTTGGAGTCCAGTTGTTCATCTTATATTTTTACATTCCGCTTCTAAAAAAATGCGTGAATTAAAACTGAGCTAGATTAAGAAAATATTCTATAAAAGGCTATCAGGGATAAATGTTTCTGGAATTCTAAAACATGAAATTGGTTAAAACGTTAGCATCACTAACGTTTCTTCCTCCTTCGAAGCCGCTTTGAAGGGGACTCTGCTCCAGCGTGAGGCGACTCAGATCCGTCTTTAGCGTGGGTGTCGTCTTGCTGAGGTCGTGCGCCTTCCTGACTCTCTGTGCGTTTCTGTGACGACCGGAGGCTATCACTGCGCGAGAACTTGGAGGTCGTTCGTCCCTCAGAACTTCGAGTTAACCCTATTGACGCTACTGCTCTACTGATCCTTTCTCCCGTCGTTAAAGGCTTTTCTTCAGGAGAAGGCTTGGATGCAGGCGGCTGTGTGTCACTGCTCACCTGGTCAGTCTCTGCCACTGGCTTAGATGTAGCGTCTGGAGACTTCACTGAATCTGTACGGTGCTTTGTTGACAAGATTGATTTGGGGAATTCTGTTTTCTTACTTAGCTTTGGCGATGCAGGTTTTTGTGTTGTGGTTGATGTTACCTTTGGTTGTGGGGAAGTTACCTTTTGCAGAGGTGAGGATGGCTTGGTAAGAGGTGAGGACGTGGTGGGTTTCACTGACTTAGGAATGGGAGAAATAGGCACTGAAACACCTTCAGGGAAAGTTAGAGATTGAATGGGAGGAGTTTCAGGGACAGTGGTCGTTGAAAATACTGGCTTTGTTCCATCTGCAAGTCCCTTTGGCAAGTCGGGAGGTAATGTAGATGGAAGGGGTGGAGTTGGAGGCTCGTCTGGAGTAGACGCCTTCTTTTCTGTAGGTTTGGGTCCTGGTGGTACTGGGGAAAGAGGCTTTGAGATGCCTTCTGGGAACTGTAGTGCAGCGAGCAAAGGTGAACACACTTCGGTTGTAGTAGTTTCAGACTTTTTCATCTCTGCATCAGCCAGATCTTTCTTTTGCATCTCAATCTTCATGTCTATCTTACCCTTTGATGCCAGTGACTTTGCCTTAGTAGGAACCGGTGATACAGGTATTGATACTCCCTCTGGAAATTCCAGCTTAGTAAGGGTTTGTGAAGCTTTTGTTTTAGGGGGCTCTGTTGCAGTTGCCTTATCAACAGATGCTACAGGTTTAGGAGCTTCATCTAGTGTAGGGGATGGCGGTTTGGCTACAGATGATACTGGTTTAAACGTCGCCTTGGGAGGGAGAGGCGAGATGGGCTTTGAAATGCCCTCTGGGAATTTCAAGGGTTTAAGTGGGGACATGGGTTTCTTTGCCTCAGATGTTGGTGACGATGGCTTCAGGTCACTTACGACTCTAGTCTTCATTGGAGAAATTGGTTTTGTTACTCCCTCTGGGAACTTCAGTGTTTTCATGGGTGATATTGGTTTCATTGGCTCTATAGCAGGCTCAAGTGTTTTTGGAATGATGACACGTGGCCGCTCCTTCTTTTTCTCTTTCAGAGGTTTGGGCTCAGGCATCTTCCCAGCAATAATTGCAGGAGATAATGGTTTAGTAACTCCTTCTGGGAATTTTAATTCTTGTGGAAGGGGTGAAAATGGTTTTGGTACATCTTTAGGGGATGG